GAGCAGGGAGGGCAGTACTGCTAAAAAATGTGGTTCAAGTTATGCCATCTTATGCCATGAATGTTTTTCTATTGCCACAGGAACTGTGTGGCAAAATTGAGAAGCTTATGAATGGGTTTTGGTGGAGATGTACAAAGCTTGACCAAAAAGGGTTAAGATGGAGAAGTTAGGAAAGGATGAGCAAACCACGCGAAGCAGGTGGACTGGGTTTTAGGAGGCTTAAGGAATTTAATATTGCAATGCTTGCTAAACAAGGGTGGAAGTTGATCAAAGATGATGGCAGCCTTAAGTGCAAGGTTTTAAAGGCCATGTATTATCCTAACTCTTCTTTTCTGGAGGCTAGATTAGGGAATAACCCGTCTTTTATTTAGAGGAGCATATATGAATCTCAAGGAGTTTTGAAGGAGAACACAAGACGTAGGGTGGGGAATGGGATAAAGGTCCAGGTTTGGGCTGATGCGTGGCTTCCGGGAGATGGAGGAGGTCGGATATTATCCCCAAGACCGATGTATGTGAAAGATATGAATGTGGCTGCTTTAAGGGATAGTACGGGGAAAGCATAGAATGTGGAGCGTATAAACTATATTTTTAATATTGAAGATAGAGAGAGGATTTTAAGTATACTTATTAGCAATCACGAAAGGGAGGATAGTTATTGGTGGAGTGGAGAAACCAATGGAAATTTCTCGGTTAGGAGCTGTTATAGGTTGCTTATTGGTAATATGCAAGGTGATAGTTGGATGGGATGGAAGCACTTGTGGAACTTAGAGGTACCTCCGAAGTTCAAATATCTTGTGTGGCAGATGCTAGATGGTTCCATGCCTACGATGGAGAATCTGCGCCGAAGAGGAGTCCAGGTTGTGGGAGGATGTAAGCTTTATGGGGATGGGGATGAGTCTCTGGACCATGTGTTAAGGCTTTGTCCATGGGCTAAACGGGTTTGGGACCACGTGGGGGTTGGGGTTTCTGCTACAGGTGTGGTGGAGGAATGGATTAAGAGTAAACTGGAGCATGGTAGCATTAAGGAGAAAAGCAGTTTTGTTTCATTATTATGGAGTATTTGGAAGAGAAGGAATAATGCAGTTTGGAAAGATAAGAAAGACTCGGCAGTTTGTGTGGCAAGTGTAGCATCCAGTATGGAGGATGGTTGGAGATCGGTACAACAGTGTGGGCAGGCTTCGCTAGAGCAGGTTGGGTCGCGGCAGCTGGGTGGCACAGCAGGGGACAGAGGCAGCTAGTTAAGGGAGGATCGCAGCAAAACCGCACTGTTCCTGGGAGGCCTGCGATGGACGTGTGGTGTCGATCGAGGAATGGGGTGGTAAAAGTCAATGTGGATGGGGCCACTAATGAAGCAACAAAGACCAGAGCATGGGGTTGGATAGCTAGGGATGCGGAAGGACAATTTATCAAAGCAAAAGGGGTGTCCAGACAGGGGGCATGGTCAGTGGCAGAAACGGGAGCTATGGGAGTGAGAGATGCACTTATGGAAGCGGTCAAGGAAGGTTGGGAGGCAGTAGAATTCGAAACTGATGTTCTAACGGTGGTTCAAGGTATCCAAAAGGGAAATGGTGCGGCCTATTTGCATTTAATTATTGATGATATTAGAAATATTTTAGAGTCTAAGAGGAATTTTGTTGTCTCTTATTGTAAACGATCTGTGGACCGTGCGACCCATGCTATTGCAAGGGCACACGTTTACACCTCAGGTCAGGACTGCGTGTACACACAGGTGCCTACATATATTGTAAGCCATTTGGCTACTGATTCAGTTAATTAATGGAAGGTGAGTTTGGATGATAAAAAAACAATTAAATACTATGTTGAACGGGAAGTCAGAATTACAAAAGGTGTATTGTAGCATCCATTTTGTAGCACAATAGAAATTATCACAATATACTCCCTCCGTTTCGCAAAGATAGTCACGGTTTGACTTCTCTAGGATTAAGGAAACAAATTGAATTTACCGTAGAAAACATTGTTTAGACACTGTTTGGCACTGTTTAAACACTGTTTAGACACTGTTTGACACTATTTTGAAGTAGATTTCTTTGCCAAATAAGGAAATAAGGGAAGTGTGATTTTGTTTTTTAAACATCCAAAAAAGAAAAGTGTGACTTTGTTTGCGAAACGGAAGGAGTAGTATTTATTGTAACATTACTGTCCAAAAAATGGTACAATAAAATGATAAATTGCTACAATACATCTATTGTAACACCAGACGAGTGAAGTATGATAAAGTACTCACTACTTTATTGTAGTGAGTACTTTTTTAGTGTGAGGGTCTAAGTGATGAGTTGAAATGTTGAACGAAATAGAATGGTCTATTTGGACCTTTTGCTATATAGAAAAGATGAAATATGACAAACGAAAAAAGAAAGAAACTACAATAATCTTATGCAAAATAAATAAAAGATTTTGATCCAAATTGGAGGTGAAAGGATATGATTCATACCTTTTCTGGCAAAATGTTGAGGAACTTGGATTCAATAATGTAAAGATGGATGACCCTATCCACTCTCATAGAGCCAATTAGACAAATCCTTTCAACAAGTCTAATGAGAGAGAGAGAGCAATGGATACCATGGGATGAGAGATGCGAAACCGGAAACCGCTAGTCAATCATTTTTCCCCCCTGAATTAGACTAGCCACAAGTAAATCTACATATGAACATTGTCAATACTGATATATTGTACGCCATTCAGAGTTGATGTATTTACTTTGTCTTACGTCCCTTTTACTATGATAAGGAGGAAATGCTTTTTTTTTGTTATCGTTGTTCATAATCTTTTGAAGATAAGATACTTTAATAGGTTTAGAAGAATGTTCCTTTAAGAAAAAAATCTTTTGAAGATATATACATGTTAAACTGCATGCATTTTTTGTGTAAAAAAGTAGAGTCTAACAAACATACTTGCATACTGCATATATATACTAAACATCACACGTAGGGGTGCTCTTCACATGCCATTACCAAACTGGACAGAATAGTAGAAAGATTATTTTTGAAAAAAAAATTAAGCATTGACCCCTGAACCTACACAAGAGTTGACACATATATCAAACTATTTAACTATCACCACGTAAAGGAAATTACGCGCTCTCAATTGATTAAGCATGTATAAAGATTTCCAATGGAGCTTATAGGGAATAAACACTTTTTCCATTGACATAGGTAAGTTCTCAAGAAGAAGCTAAATCACATATCCAATAGAACACAACTATTCCAGCTAGCCTCGGCCGACATGGATTGATCATTTTGAAAAATATCTTTCAAATACACCACATTAGATGACATCAAGGCTCGTTGGAAGTTTAATTATTCAAAATGGTTGCAAGCAAATTTTAGAGAAAAATTACTTTACAAGTAAAATAAAAATGTATGATATGGTCACTAGTTAGTGTGTATTTATTTTTACATTTTACGCAAGTTAATTGCACCACTTTATACTCCGTATTAAACATGTAGAGTACTTCTTTTTATCTTTAAACCAACAAATATATTAAATCAACAAAACGTTGGTCACTTTAACTGACAATACAATTAGAGAAAAATCAGGAAATAAAATGATAAAAAGTTTTTTGTCTGTCGGCCGCCCTAGAACCAAACTTAGAATTTATCATCTCTGTAGAAGCAATAAAATCCGTTGATCTTGTAATGAGCACTGAGTCGATGACAAGCAAACCAAACTTCTCATCACCTGACCTAAATTCTAGAATCTTTGTGTTAGGAAATAAGATTACACCCAAAACAACATGCAATTTGAAAGATTCACTCAAACAAAATATAACAGAATTAAAATAGAACTCATTCATCTTCTTCCAAACTGTAGAGTACTCTCTTGCACTACATGGCAGCGGCTAGGGAGGGGAATGAGCCCGCCATTCATCCACCTCAATAGTCATGCTTTTGTATTGAATGACGATATCCTCCATTGATATCTCTTACTGATGAATCGAACCCAAGCTCCGCCACAACTTATCCGCCTTTTCTATGTCTGATCTACCCTCGCCCGTTGACCAGAAATAGCAGTAGAAGACGAGTCACGACCTCCAAAGCTCTACATCCCTGGTCACAAGCCTGCTTGCACGACCAAAATCCACCGACAGCCGCTCTTCGTCAATCACGAAAGCGGAAGAACAAAACCCTAGAGAGGGAGAGACCACCTTTTTTTCATGTAGCGAGTAGTTACATGTAGAGTACTTAATCATCATTCTTTCACCTATATCACAATTTTCATTAAAAAAATCAAAACAAACAACATAAACATTTTATTATCCCTACACTAAAATACGTAGTACTCCCTCCTATTTTTTTGTTTGCTACAATAGGTGTTGGCACGTTGTTTAAGAGTGAAATAGTAGGGGTATGAATAGTGTAGAAAAAGTAGGAGAGATGATGGAAAAACATGAAAGAGAATAGAAAAGGTAAGGATAATTGAGCACTTTTAAAGGAAAAACTTACCAAGAAGGGAAAGTATAACAAATTTTTGAATACATACATCCAAAAAAGGAAAGTGTAGTAAACAAAAAAAATACGGAGGGAGTATCATTTAATGTCATTTTGGTCAATTCTGTTAGAAAACTAATTTCAATCATATTTATTATATTTAATAAAAAATTGACGATAGAATTGATAAATTCAAATTTTCAAATAGGAAGTACGAGTAATTGTTACGTACTACCTCCGTCCCGTAATGGTTGTCAACTTTCAATTTGGCACGATTATTAATAAAGTGATTGAAAAGTAAAAGTTGTGGTTGAGATTTGAGTAGAATAAAGTGAATTGATAAGAACCACATATTTCATGCCAAAAAAAGAAATAAGACATTCATTTTGGGACAACCCAAAATGAAAAGTAGGACAACCAAAATGGGACGGAGTGAGTAGTATTTAAGTGAAGATAGGTAAAAATGTAAAATTGATGGACCCATCGCACCATTCGCTGAATGAGTTGCAAGTTGCAACTTGCAATTAATGTCACAGAAGCATCATAGGAAGCCTCCATCATGGTTCAGGTTCTGCTTCAGGAATAATTCCACCATCCCTATATAAACCTCCTCACCCACACTCCTTTTCTTCCCCACCCAGTTCCGCATATCCTTCAACAATTCAATCCACTCAGCAGAAACCCACACGATCTTCCACAAAATGGGTTCACCCGAAGAATCCTATGCTATTGACCTCATCAGGCGCCATCTTCTAGACGATGTTTTCTTTGAAGCTTCTTCTAACAGTCCTGAAATTTCCCAATCCTCGTCTTCCTCTGTTTCTTTAATCTCCGATCATAAAGATGACAGCTTTTTCCCAGAATTTGAATCCTTCAATCTGCCGAGTTGCAGCCCTGTTGATCTAGATTGCTTCGAATTCGACCCGGAACCGAACCCGCCGCCGGTTGTTTCGAGCTCTCCGAGGAAGAAACCTACCCTTAACATCGAAGTTCCTCTGCCCCAGCTCAAGACAGCTGCAGTGACGGTGATTCAAGATTCCGGTGACCAGAAGAGACACTACCGGGGAGTGAGGCAGCGGCCGTGGGGGAAATTCGCGGCGGAGATCCGCGACCCGAACCGGAAAGGGGCCCGGGTCTGGCTGGGAACGTTTGATACGGCGGTGGAGGCCGCCAAGGCCTACGACAGGGCGGCGTTCAGGCTGAGAGGAAACAAGGCTATCATTAACTTCCCACTGGAGGTTGAGAATTTCCGGCAGGGGACGGAGCCGTCGCGGAGCGGTGGCCGGAAAAGGAGAAGAGAATCGGATGCAGGGGATGAGGTGATTGTAACGAAGGAGCTGAAAAGGGAGTTGAGTGAAGAATCTTACACGCAGTCGGTCGCCGGAGTTGCTGCTCCGCCGTTAACGCCGTCGAGCTGGACGGCGGCTTGGGAATTCGACGATGATACGAAGGGGATGTTCGAAATACCGCCATTATCACCGCTATCACCAAGTTGGTTTAATTATGGGATTAAAGTTTGAGAAATTGCTGCAATTTTTAATTATGCATTAGGTAGAGAGAAAGAGGCACGCCTGACTAAGTCCGAGGTGAAAATCCAACGTATTTGATTTATTTATTTATTTATTTAAAGCTTTATACGGAGTACATAATTATTATGAATGTGAATATGTTACTCCATTCTCACTATATCATGAAAGAATGAAAGCCAGATTTTTGTTGTTTATGCAATTTTTTATCGTCATCTATATTTTTAAATTTATACTCCGTATTTGAGAATGAAAGCCAGATATTTGTTCTATTCTCTAGATAAAACTTAACCTTACCATTTGAGTATCTTTATGAGCTTGTACACTAAATTGTGTCTGTAACAATAAGAAGAAAAAATAAGGTTAGAGTTATTTGTCTGATTATATTGAGTGAAGTTACTATAAATGATCATTTCAGTTGTTTTTCATCTAATTTTTTTTATTTTATTAATAAAATATATTTTAAATTTTTTTTTTTTCAAAAATCACCAAATTAAGTCAATGCATCCACTGTAATCAAAATTTCATACTCCGTATATTTAAAAGCAAAATTAATCAATACAGTCGATTTGAGTGTTGCCAATAAGGTGGTCTCGTAATTTAATTGATGTCTTTTTCTTCATTTCACATAATTATTAATAAAATGATTCCACGTTTACACGATGTTGGACACATTACAAATGGGCAATTAAATAAGGCGCATTGAAATTTTGGTGCTTCAATAACATCGCTACATCACTACATGATTTGCGAGAGGAAAGAAAATTACTCCGTAGTATTTAAATGATTGGTTCTACCAGGCGTTTATTAATAAGTACGAACCTTGCTCAGTAATGAATTGATAAGGTCACAAAAAAGTTGGTATCCGTGCGACACATAAAATAAACAAAATTTAAAAAATTATGAAGGAAATGACGGTATATTAACAATACACATTATATGGATCGAGCTTAACAATTAACAAATGTTTTTTGTTTCCTTAAGATAAATTTGATCGTAACAATTTACTTTTAGCTCAACATGCTAGGACTAGCTCAACATGTTTGAACTATTATGTTTTTTGTTTTTTGAGTCCTTACATATTTAAGCTCACAAGTGACCAAAAATTAATATATTTATAAAACATTTTCTTCATCAGTCATGGACTCATGGGTAGTTTAGAAGATTTAACGTAAAAGTATATTTAAAGAATATACTAAAGCAATTTACGGGATTCCAATGGCCTTTAAACTAAAAATCTGCTTTCAAATATACTTCAAGCATAATCTTCAAACTAAGAGCATCCCCAATGCATTACTTTCTAGTACAAGTGAAAAATGCCAAATGTCAAATAATTAAAAGGGTTTCTAATTTATGTAATCGGAAGTGGACTGACAGGACATTTAGGTGTGAAAAAACGTCCAATGCATGAAGTCTAAGGCCCAAGTCAAGTGTATATGTGGCTTTTATTTTATTAATAAAAATATTATTATCCAATTGCTCTATACGCAAACTGATCCGTCGGCATCGCTCCTGCTCTGCATCGTTCCTGCTCTTTTTCTATTTCCTCCCTATTCCATTGAAGTCATTCCAAAAGCAGGTAACGAGTAGGGAATTTATGTTGTTAGTGGATTAATCAAAGTTATGTTTGGAATCAAACACAAACACAATTGACCTGGTTTTTAGGGAGCTCGGAGATGAGTAAAACCTCAGAGAGGGATGTTTGAAGGAGCTCGGAAAATTGAGAGAACCCAGAGCTTCTTTGGTGATAGAAAAACCAAAGACAACGATTTGTGCCAGTTCGGCAAAGAGAGTTCACGATAGCTTTGAGTGTTCGATTTTCATCTATTTTTTGGGAAGTCGAGCCTCTTTTTGGTCGAGTTAGCAAGTCTGGACGGGTTTCTACAATCAAACATTGTCCTTCACAGTGTGTAGGTTTTTTTTGCCATGTCAGCAAAAGACGGTAAGCGTTGGAGGTATAAATAGACGGACCCTGTCTAATTTTAATGAAGTGGCACACTAAACATGCACTAGACAACCTGCGTTGGGGTTGCTCTAAGAAACTGCTTTCAGGTATTAATTAAGTTTTTCAAGGATAGTGATCGTTTAGACTCGAAATTTCATCCTAATAGGTCAACCTGATAGGAAAAGTAACTCAAAACCTTATATAGCGTTTAATGGTTTTATAATCTTCCGATGTGGGAATGAAGAATGCCTAACCAAGTAACCAAGTAGAGTTCATCAAATGATGATGTCTTTATTACACATTAATATAAGGAGATTTATCTAAATAGGAGTATATAAATGTATAATTGCCAAAATAAGAGTGAAGGTTAAAAATTCCCTGAATGGGAGTTATTTAAAGTTGGATAGTACAAAAACATCTCTAAAGCTTGGAAAAATACTGCTACCAACAGAACACCGGACCATCACTGATAGCCGGCCGACGGTCGCTGTCATCTGCCATCCGCCTCAGAAATAGCCGCCGCTGCATATCTGGCCTCCACCGGCGTAGATCTGACTGTTGTCGTCATAGATCAAGTCAGATATGGTATCCCACCGCAATCGACCGCCACCACCACCACCGCTGCTGCAGGTTCGGCCTCCACTATTGCAGATCTGGAAGCCACCATCACTGAGAACATTTAAATCATGTCAGTTTATTTTAAAAATGTCTATTTTTTTTTTTTGTAAAATCGGTATCGTAGTATAGTGGCAGATCCAAAATGTTTGTTGGCCATCTCTGATCATGTCAGTTTACTTTCTACTACACCACCATTTTAAACCAGGGGGTGGCCAACCCTTGCCATGGCCTAGCCCAAATTTTAAAAATGTCTAAATTTTTAGGGTAAAAAATTTTGTGCAAACTTTTTTCCAAAAATATTATTTGTACCGGCCCAGTCTGGCCCAGTGTCCTGGCTCAGCCCCTGTCTCGAGCCATGTTATCTGTTGTTATTTTCCTTTCCAGAATCAGACAAACTGCTATGCAAGAAGAAAAGAGGACTGTCGGACGGGTGCCTGATGGAGTCTTCATGTAGCTGCAAATTATCGAAGAGAAAAGAATTGAAGAAGCATTTTGCCGGAATGCTATGTGTCTATCAGCCGGAACTGGACAACTAGTAGCACTACTAGAAAAAGGGTTTTTAACAATGAAAAATATCGTCGTTATAGGCTCAAAAGTTTGTCGTTAAAGCTTTTAACGACGACTTTTTTTTGGTCGTCAAGTGGTTGTTATAGCTTCCCTCGTTATTGGTTTTAACGACAAAGTTCATCATTAATAATTAACGACGACACAAGATGTCATCGTTATTTATTAACGACAACACAAGATGTCATCGTTACTTATTAACGACAAGATATTCACTCGTCGTTATATTTCAACGACAAAATTCTTCATTGGCGTATAAAAGCCATAAAATCACAAAATATGTAATAGTCGTTAATCTTAAAACAATTCACCAATTAAACATTTACTAGGTCTAAAATTTTTAATATATCCATATATGATTTTGCAATTGATTATAATTACATAAAATAAAATCAGGACGTTTCCATTCAACAACATATAACAATCTTCTAAAATAAATTCCACAATCTTCTAAAATTAAACAAATTCCACAATGATAGTAAGTTGATACAATATACTCCGTAGTAATCATCCTCATGAAAAAAAAATATTCATACTTCATTGTCAAACACAACTCAAGGACTAATGGACTATACAAAAAATGAATACTAAATCACAAAGTAATTAATCATTCGACTGCACTGCTCCAACTTCTCCATCTTTCGATACCTACAAAAAATTAAAAATAGAATTCAGATTTTTCAATAAAATGATAAATAGCTGTGAGAGAAATAACGGTTTTTATAAAATTATTTCCCAAAACGAGCAGGTCATGAATAGATCTACAAAAACTATGAGTGGTAACTGACTAGTCATTGATTTAGATAAAACTAGTTACTGACTTACAAACCTGTTCGAGGATTAAGATTAAAACAAAATTATTTACTCATGATTTTAAAATATTAGTTATGAGTTATAATATACTCCATATCAGTTACATCTATATAACTATAAATGCCTCTACTCTCAATAAATTGAGATTGACAAAAGATTGCAAATTCAGATTTGCATCCTTATAATTTTAAGGAATTATATAATGATAGTTTTGGTTTCCTGGGAATAAAAACTAGACATATAGCTCTATCAAAAATATAATCATCCATATAGCCATAATATATAAGCGTATTGTCATAAAACTAGTCATAAACACATACAACCATAAAACTACAAATAAACACTGTACAAACACCCAAACACACGTTCATATCTGCCATAGTACACATACTACTCTAACACATATAGTCATAATCACAACTTATAACAGGTGAGCATAGACAAAGCATGATGCATAACCTTATAACGGATAAGGCACTAGCCAATACTTAGAAATGGAGAGCATGATGCATAACTTACAAGATTTGAGCACAGGCTGCTCTATCTGCAGCAGGAGCAATAGAGAAGGAAAGTTAGAGCGTGACTGTATGAGCCAAGCAAAAGTGGAACAGAGAATAGGTAGCTAGCTAGTATAGTAACAGATTAAGAAAAAACCTAGAATAAAGGAGAGAAAAAACTTACTTATCATGATAGAGGAGACTCCTGATGCACGAAATCTGAGGGCCAGGAGAAAGGAAAGACCAGTCACGGACTCTGAGATGTATATGACCTGATTTAAGTACTACGCAAAAGAGAATCTTCCCTGACTCATAATAAGAATCTAGCAAGTCTGAGTAAGCAGATTTTCGTTTACTTATTTAGATCAAATGAATTTTATCATATGCTTAGTGTTTTAGAAAATTTGACAGATTCAGCTAATCCAGCTAAAATAATCCAATCAAAACCACTCTATAATCTCACTATAAATATAAATTATCCATGAAAGACATTACAAAGAACTTACAGATCTGACCAACACAAAGACTCCTTACAGCAACATAAGTCCCCATTCGAAATATGACCAAGCTTTTTTCTTCAGAGCATGTTCTGGAAGCAACACTTCCTGCTTCTTTTTCCATAAGTTCAGTGGTACCAAACAAATCTAATGGAATAAGAGGAAAAGTGGTCAGTTGATTCCGCAAAAGATTAGGTTGTCACGGATTAGGAAGCAACAAACTCCCGATACAAAATCCTCTTAGTATGAAACAATATGCATTAGCATTATGTTATTAAAAATATAATAAAAAACACCTAGCTCATCACCTATCAAACAACAATACTATATCCAAGAACATGGTTTAGTCACTTTAGTGTAATA